GAGGATGTTTCTACTTAGGTAATAATCTGGTTTCCTGGTTTAGTAAGAAGTAGAATTCGATCTCTTTATGAACTGCAGAGGCTGAATATATAGCGGCAGGAAGTTGTTGCACTCAATTGTTGTGGATGAAGCAGATGTTGGAAGACTATGGTATTATACAAGATGTACTGACAGTTTTTTGTGATAACACCAGTGCTATAAATATTTCAAAGAATCCTGTTCAACATTCTCGAACGAAGCACATCAATATTCGACATCATTTTATCCGAGAATTGGTGGAGAACAAGACTGTCGTGTTGGAGTATGTAACTACAGAGAAGCAACTAGCAGATATTTTTACAAAGCCTCTTGATGCTGTTCGGTTTGAGGCCTTACGGACAGCTTTGGGCATTTGTGTAACGTATTTTTTCTTAGTTTTTTTTTTTATAAAAAAAATGACATTGCGTATTGGGTGGGAGCCGTGTGTTATAATAACCGGCCCCTTCATTTGAAATTTCCAGCCCTAATTCTTTGCTTTGCTCCAGAAAGTTTGCTCTCCATATTTCTCAGAAATTTCTCCAAAATGGTGAGGACCCGAAGCAATCGAGTGTTCAATCAGTTTTCCCCCAAGAAATCTTCCGTGCCGTCGAAGAAGGTGAAGTTTTCTGCCCCACGACAAGATGCTCACGCCTTTGCTGAAAACGAACCTATCCCACTTGCTTGCCTTCCTCCGTCAGCCATTGTTCCTTACTCCAAGGCTCCATTTTGCGACGAAGGAGATGAGATTTATTCTACTCCACGCGGGTCTTCAGAGCAAGAAAGTATTGCTCCCATTGCCCCTTTATTTCCGTCTCCCGACATGCCGAATTTGGGTGAAAATCGGTCACCAACCAACTTTTCTAAGCCTCCGAAGGTTGTTACGGATCAGGTGTTTGCTGAAATGCCTCAGAGAGATAATCTTCCGGATTTATTGAAATTTGCAGCAAGACCGGGTTTTCCATCATGGAGCTCTCATTCTCATGCATTCCAACAAGGTTTGAGGCCTCAGTTTACACCGAGTGTTGACAACCAGAATCCTGAGTCATCTTCAAAGAAGCGGTCTCGATCTTTTAGTGAAGAATCCCTACACCCATGTGTTCTTTCTTCGGATGATGAGGAAGAAGTTTTACTGGAAGCCATGGAACCAGTGGAAAAGGAGAAGTCTTCTCAGCAATCAACAAAGAAGAG